CATTGCCTTCTATAAAGAGAAGCTCCCTCATCACTAGCTTCTTCATCGTCATCAATCATCACAGTGTCTATGACCGGCCCGGAAGGAGGATCAGGCGTCATCGCCACCGGAGATAGCTCGGGGATAGCAGTCTCCGCCCGCTTATTATTCTCCCCAACCATGTAGAAACGTCTTCTCTTTGGTTGCTTATCTTCTGGCTGAGGACTCCGTGAAGATGTGGTTACACCCGAAACATACCCAGAGATACATGTTCGAGTGAGAGCTTCCTGAAATAGCCTCGTTGTATCAGCGGGATCAGCCAAAGCATCCTCCTCGGGGATAGTAACAGAGCTCGTAGGTAAACCTAATTTCATAAACAAGCCAGAAAGGTTCAATCGATATGCAAAGCAGAGAAAGATGGAAGCGAGGTAAGTTCAAATTACCATGATTTTTGGCCTTCCACCCGTATTTCGGGGAGAGCTCTTTCCACAAGCGAGTTTTGGGCATTGTGATGTCCAAAATTTTTTGAACCCACCGGTCTAATACTTTCACCACCTGTGGGACCCATCTAGTTGTTGAAACATACGAAGAATGAAAACACGGCCATAGAATATGTGTTAATGAAAGAAGGAATATTAGAGATGTTACGAGCGCGGTTCCAAGCTGCCGGAAAGTATGAAGCCGTTGTTGGAATAATACTGCTAGTGGCAACCGCGGCGAACCATTCCGTCCACCCACAGTCATTATCATCATCCATGATAGTCAACAAAGCATGGTGACCTCGTTTGCAGAGATTTATCATACCCCCGCCCCCTCCCGGAAAATCTTGGGGGAGTATAGCTTCATCATGTGAGCTAATGTTAGCTCCTCTCCAGTTTCTTGGCACAAGCGTCGAAGACAAGAAACCGTCCTCCACATGTGAGGACTTACCTTTGCCAAACACACCTGATAGCGGAGGCAAAATTCCGTAATCATAGAATCAAGCTCTCCACTCAAAGAAAACGCACCCAAAGTAAAGGGATACGTGTAAAAGTATGTAAAACCTTCCTTGGGAAGGGTCACTCACTCTGATAGACCGGAAGCGATGATATCCAATTCATGGCAAAGACAATCTTCCTTCACAGCGGGAATACTGAAAGGACAAATGGAGGAAGGGTACCTGCTAACAACCCATGTACGAGAGTTAGCAGAAGGGAGTTTCTCCTCAAAATCCTTTGCGGTATTGAGTCTTTTTGGTATGATGGAGTCTACGGTTGGAGAGACAAAGTCGTCGGTTTTGTTTTTGCCTTTCGAAGAACCAGTATGTTTTGAGGAGGAAGCCATCGAAAAAGATAAAGGATTTTTTCTATTTGAAGAAAATGAAGACTCAGTAAGCGAAATAAGATGAAGGAGGTTGGAGTACAAGGGGGGAAGTTAATACGTATAAGTAAAGTTTTGGCAGCTAAATCCTTGGCTAAGATTACCTCGGTACCGACAAAAGCCGTGCTAAATCATGGGAAGATGCGTGTTCGAGGCATTAATTGTGTAGAGACAGGCGTCTAATCAGCCGTCAGTTGCCTTCAAAAGGAATTATAGTAATTCCCGCCAAAAGAATATTTCTACCAACTTTTCGGTAATACAAAGTTATGTCACCGGAAAGCAGGGGGCTATCTGTATTAGGTAAAATATGTTATGGCACGTGGCCACCCAAGAAGGGGACGCGTGGAACCTAAGCCGGGAGGACGAAAAATCGGACGCAGTTATCCCGTGTGTCACCGGAAAAGATAACGTTTATGAAGGTATTGAATACTCTGCACCCGGTAGCATTCAATGAGAAATATTCCACAGCATTAAAAGCAACGGCCCGTTATAAAAAAATTGGCATTTATGTTCACAGTTACGTCTTCATCAATGCTCCTCATAATTGACATTAAAGAAGGGCACGACCCTAGTACCTTCTTCATAGCTATAAATAATAAACTAAATGATCATTGCAAGGGAGACGAATTTTCTGGTTAACTTACACTACATTCTATACAGAATTTTAATACAATTTTGCCTTCTCGCTCTTTGATCTCATCATTATTGTGCCCGGAAACCCTGTTCCCGGACTCGTCAGCTCTGTCATTTCATCTACATTTTAAGGCAGAGTATTTTATATTTCATCAGTTATTTCATTATTTTTTGGATCAAATTAATTCACTTGTCTAGAAACCACGAACAAATTTAATTGTACCGTTTTACGGGTAAATATAAATCTCCTTCCTTATTAAAAACTATTATTTCGAAAGTAATAAAATGAGTAATTAAATGGATAAATTACTGTTGGCTTGTCTGAAGGCGGCGTTAGGCGCCATCACGACCTATAGTGAATTTTGGGTCGTGACACATTGGATAGTAATTGAAAACTTGCTTAAAATTTGCATCCGGTTAGAGGTTCAGCTAAATGAGAGTATCAACTATAATACATTTGATTCAAAGTATGTTAACTCAAGCCCAGCACGTTACTCTATCTTTCTACAATTATTTTGAGTGGAAAATTAGGAAATTGCAAAAGCAATATAAAAATTTGTATAAAATAATATATACATATATATTGATTAACCAAAAGAAATTAAGATTAAAAATTGTATTCTAAAACTATTATCGACAAAAAATAAAGTCAGAAAACACTTGTAGATGTTCTCAAAAACAAAATACACTTGGTTGAAAAATCTTCACAAAAGGAAACTCTTATATTTTGACTAAAAGAGATTTTCACACTCATGTAATCCGTCTTATTTTACAGTAAAAATTCATTAGTCTACACATCTTTTGACTTTTTTTTTTCCTTTTCTTTATTTTAGTAAGTTAAATATGCTAGTGATTATATAATAATTGCACCTGTAACTAGATATTGCTTCATCACTATTAGGAAAATGGTTGTGTCGTACTATGGAAACCAAATTGGTTTCTTACTTCCTCAAATTATCGTAAACAAATTACTTGCCATTCTTCTTAAAGTCATTTCAGATTTTATTAACTTTAAATTGGAACGGTCCTCAAAACTACATATAGCAAAAAAAGGGATAGGTATTTTTGTAAGTTACAACTAGTCACGAATTTGTTCTACACTTTTCAACATGGCAATGAGGAAGATATCGTCCATCACTTTGTTTTCCATGGTTTGTGTGATGCTTATCACAATAGGTATTTCTCCCACTTTACTCTCATTCAAATGGAAATCAAAGTTGCAGATATGTTTGTATGCTTAACATAAAATTAATATTTTGTATTTAATGTTTGGATTCTGAGTAAAAATTCATGTTCACACAGCATTATTCCTAAAGATCTATGATTTCAGGGACTTCTTTAGGCAAAGGCATATCAAAACCTTTTTAAGATTATTTTCAAGATATGATCTATCAAATGGTTGCAAGATTATCCCTACAGTATACCAAGTTTGATATTAAAGTTTATTTGTTTTTGCTATAGTTTGCACTAAATTTGATGTTTTAGAAGAATATTTTGTTCTAGTTAAAGGCTTGTATGTCCTCATAATAATAAGTGCATATAGATTAGATCCAGGTTTAAATAGTACTATGTCGGGTCATTTGGTTTGAACACAAGTTATCCCGCGATTAGTTATGCTGGGATTAATTATCCTGGTTTTATTTTTTATTTATTGTTTGGTATGTTGCATTAATCTTTGGGTTGTCAATTTTACTGCTTCATCCTGAATAACTTATCTTTAAATTACTATTCCACTCTCTGATAGATATAAGTTATCCCGGTACTATTTTTAATCATGGAAAAACTTATCCCAAACTTAGTAACCAAACAAGGGACAAGGCAATCTAAACTAGTTTGGGTTAGGAGCTGCAACTTACCATATTTCTTCTAACCTGGCTTTGCTATAAGATGGCCTATAAAATGGTACTATTTGTCTAGTGACATTATATTTTACATGAGTTTGGTATTTTTGTGTTATCTTTACTTAAATATAAAAATTTGTAGTATTTTATGATAAAAATTTGACTTTTATAGGCTTACAGAGTGTGGAAGGTTCGGTATTCATAGGTGAACCATGCAAAACAGCTAAAGATTGCTTTGATTTTTGCCGTGGCGCGACCCCATTTTGCCAGAATGAACATTGTATTTGCGAGGTTGAGGAGGCGGCTATTAGCAATTCTCAAGCTGGAGCTATTAGAAAAATTTTACAACATAATTAGGAGTATGTGACTATACATAATATATACATAATAAGAACAATTGTTCTATTGAAATTTTCTTTAGTTGTTGGTTGAAATTAATAAAGATCTCAAATAATGAATGACAAATTTGTCTATTTTTTCATGTATTTTAATAGCATGAAGACTGGTTACTTCATTTATTCTTTCTTCTTTTTTTGTTTTTTTCATGGCAGGATTTAATTTCTTAAATCTTGCTCATTAACTTGTGCTTTTGTTTTGAAAAATAGTACGTGAAACTTTGATATATATAGTAACTCAGAAAACTAAATGAAGTATTACTGAATTTGTGTATAACGCTCAAAACCAATGGTGATGAAAATGATGAAGATTCGTTTCTTATTTCTTTTTTTTCGAGAGAATTACTCTGCAAATTCAAGATGTCATAATGATCAAAACGGTTAGTGCTGTACTTGCATCTCAAAGATGAATCTCATCACTATCCGTATTATCAAAGGTGCGCTAAAAGTGCCCATAAAGCTGAAGCGCGGCTCAAAACATGTTGAGTACTTCGCCTCGCTTAGTGGACAGTATTGTCAGCAAGGTACTAAGACATATTTTTCTTTGCTAATGATTAAGCAATTGATATTTCATTTAATCGTAAATTTTCTTCAATTTCTTTGTTAATACACGCTTATAGATATTAGTTTTGTAGTTTTTCTCGCCTTTCTTCATTAAAACCAACGTTTTAAATGCGCTTTGAGCTTTAAACCCCAACAGATCTTAAAATATTTTTGCTTTTTTTGTCTTTAATAACACTTATGACCATGAAGATGGGTGTATCCAGTTGGGACGTGAGCACATGTTTTGTACTGAATCAAACTCATATAGTAATTTCCTTTAATTCGCTCTTAAATGAAATTTGCATTACATTACAATTCCTTATATAGGAATAAACCGACTAAATTTCCATTTTCTAGTCTTTACTAATTCAGTCACCATAGAATTAACATATATATATCATATCCTGAAAACTTAACCTTTTTCAAGACTCCTAACAAGTGAGATTATTCCCAGTATCTACACCAAGTTGCTGACAATACTCAGTGTAATATTGAATCCTTCTGGCAACAGGCTCTGGATTTCCACCATTACACTCAAGCGGACCATTAATGGCTCGAATCGTCGCCCCGAAACCATGGCCAGAAGTTATGAGAGAATGGCAATTATTCATCCAATACCAAAACGCAGTTTTGAATGCTATGAGACTGTCTCTAGCCACGATATCGGGGTCGTTTACGCCATCGAATCCGATGTCTTTCCCCGCCGGTCCATAGTTGAAATTCCATGACAATTGTATCGGTCCACGGCCGTAATATTTCTTGCCGAGGACACAAGGGTACTCTGTATTTGTCTCATCACAATAGTCCCTAGATGCACCATTTATCTCATTTCTATAGCACATTTCTGCATAAAGTGAAAAAAGAAAAAGAAACTGTAGTGTGAGTTGCGTAAAATTGCTATATAATGTTATATGGAAGTTGTCATGTAGTCGTGAAAATGTGTGCCATAGTATACAAGATTGTAACGAACAGTTTATACAATCAAGTCACTTAAAAATTAAGTCTATATAACTTTTATGGCCAGTTTAGATCTACATGACATAATAAATGACCTATTACAACCAGTGTCAGAGCTATATATGTGTTGGCAAGAGGATTCAATCGAATCCCTTTTAAAAAAAGTTACATCGTTCATATATAAATGATCTCTTTTTTTTTTCCCCAAAAAAAATGATCTCTTTGTTTTTTTTTATTATGTACAAGTTGTTGACTCCCCTCAAGTAGTAACAAAGAGGTTCAAAAATAGCTGTAGATCATAAGTTCAAATCCTATGTATCAATAAGTCAAGCCAAAGCTTGGTTCAGATGAAACCACAGCTTATTCAGTAGATCCACCGCTGCATTAATTATGTGATATCATAGTATTAATTTCTTTTCCGCTATTAGTATATACAAACTTAAATTAAAAAGAGGTAACAAACAGGAGAAGGTTGTAAGGAAAAAGACTCACGTCCAGTCTCATGGGTAACATGAGCAAAGAAAGCAGCAATTTCACGCTTATTATCATCAGAAGAACCAGCAGTTGCAAATAGAGGATAAGACCTGAGAGCTTCAAGAAAGGCAGATCTTGTGTAAAATCCTTTGCCTTCACAGTTTGGAGCAGCTTGATTAGCAATTCCATTGAAAAATGGTTCAGAAACAATTTGAGAAACTGATGAAATTCCATAGTTTTCTGTAATAAAACAAGGCCCCCCTTTACAGCCTTGACCACAATATGCATTTCCAGTGCCACAATAACCCCATCTGCTGCAGCACAAACCTTCCGCACACCCACAGTTTTGAGCCAAGATTAATTTTGGAATAAATATGGCTATAATATAAATAAATAAAAAGAAGTGCTTTCTTGAACCACAGTTAATCATTTTTCAGCGAGGAACTAGACTGGATATGGAGGAAAGACTAAAGCATAGAAGTATTTATAGAAGCAAAAAGACTGAACCGGTAATAATGTTGAAAATTGTTTAATATTTCAGCAACTTTAATGTGAACTTTATAGGTATAGATGCACTTTAGATTAGTTTGAGTATTGCACTTTATTAGGAAGGATATGGTTTTGTCATAACTCGTAGGGTCTGCCTAACACTCTATCTATTAAAAAAGATTAGTTGATCACAAGAACCCCTTGACGCTTTTTGATAAATGTGCAAAGACCTACCTTCAAGTTTTAAGAATTAATGATAAGTTCTCTCTTATTTCAGGTTGTTCAGAAGCGACTAAGCGTCCCTTGACAAGATAAATGCTAATGTTAGTATTTGTGGCTAGTATTATTATTCGTACAAAGTATTATAATTCGTACAAGATAAAAGAGTTTAATATTCGTACAATTAAATCATCTTATATACTATTTGTACTTGTGTTTATATGTATGCATGCATTGTCTGATTCTAGTTTTCGATAAATACAATAATGTTTATTTTCATGAATAAATTTTTTTATGACATATTAGAATTACTTTAGAATTTGCATGGAACTTAACTTTGAATTTCAGAATGATATTTTTTCACTTCCTTAGAGATTCGAATGTAATTAAATATCATATTCAACTCTAGTGTTGATAACTTTGCACCTTAAAACATTAAGCTTGGAACTAAAGGAACGTCACGTCGCCTGGCAAGCAATTATTAATAGGTAAATTTTGATGGTTTCTATTTTACGCTACGTTAATTTCAACTATTTCATATGTGATACACCCAACCCAATTATTGACAAAGTTTTTCGGAATTATGAAGAATGATTGGGTGACTACAATGATAAAAAGGGATGATTTGACACAAAAGAGACTTTGTGGGGATGATCTTAGGGGAATGTCCCCAAAATATTTTTTTTTTAAAAACTCTCCTTTTCAAGGGTTTTTCTATCGAATTAAATTATTCATCGAAGTTTATTGGATGTGAGGACGTAATTTTTGCTCGACATATAAAATCGCTCCTAAAAAGTCAAAAATAGTTTTAAGTGCTTTTCGTAGAACTTTTAGGAATTTTGTTGGTTTATTTTGATGGTTTAAGTGCTCGGCATATAAAATCGCTACTAAATTATTATTTTCCCACATTGCATCATTGGTAATGTTTTAAAGCCATGAAAATCATAATTATTTTATGTTCATTGAATTTTTCCTAGATTTTGATTGCATCATTAGCCTTTAATTGCACGTAGTAGTATCTTTAAACGAAAATTAATAATAATAAAAATTAACAATAATAATAAAATTACACTAGTTGTGTCTTTTACATTTTTGGCTAGGTAATTAGTTTAATTTTAATTATTTTGAGTTAGTTAAAGGCTAATTAGGCCTAGTTTGCATTTAGATTCAATTTGATTTAAGTGGACTAATATTTATTTTTTTGTTAAATGAAAAAGTTTGTTCAACCAAGTATAATTATTTACAAGCACACCTGCTCATTGGACTCTAGAGACAGGATCATACAAGAATAACTATTAAAACTCTCGCTAAACTAGCTACTTCCAGTTCCAAGCTCTATAACTGCTCACCTTCTAGGAAGGGTGTCAGTTGTAGAGACAAGGATTTACTGGTAGCTACTCCTAGTCTGGGTAACCTCTCAATCTATCTAATTCATTCTGCCATTTGGAGTATCTTTATCCTACAATATGCAATTGTAGAGCTATTTCTTTTAGTCTTTCTGTAGTTGTTTTCTTCAATTGTTGAAATCTTCTACTGTTTCTTTCCATCCAAACATGGTAGACTGTGGCTGCAAATATGAAGGCAATGATGACAGTTCTTGGGTGTTTGTTTCTTGTTATGTTTGCCAGCCATGCTAGTTCTTCATTCCATGATCTTACTTGCCTCTGTATTCCTATCCATTGAAGTAGTTTCTGCCATTTAGTTTTGGAATAGCTGCACTCAAAGAATAGGTGAGTGAGTGTTTCCTCTGCATCTGTTGAGCATAGCACACATTCACTTTGCACTTGTATTCCCCATAGTTGTATAATGTCTATTGTTGCCAGTCTTGGTTGAAGAGCCATCCACATAATGAATTGATGCTTTGGTATCCTGCCTTTACTGAGAATCAAGCTTTTCCAATAGACTTTTGGATATTGAGGGAGACTGTCCATATAGGCTTTCTTAATGCTGAATTTGGCATCTAGTGCATAAGTCTGTATTCTATCCATGTTAGGTGCTAGCCATTGTCTAGCCTCAAATATCTTTCTAACCACCGAGCTTGCTTGTCTTGGTGTTTTGATTTCCTTTAAGTCTTTACCCTTTATGTATTGATGTTGTATCCATTGGACCCAAAGTGTATCTTTTTTCTGAGAAATTGCCCACAACAGCTTCAATATTGCAGCTCTACTCCACAGGGTAAAATTGAGAATATTTAGTCCACCAGTAGATCTTGGTTGGCATATTGTTTCCTATGCAATGGGTGCTATGTTCACATTCTCCTTTGTGCCATGCCAGAGGAAGTTCCTGCAGACTGTTGTGCAAGTTTAACTACTTTTTTTGGAAGTAGAAAGATCTGAGCCCAGTAGGTTTGAATCTCAAATAAAATACTTTTTATCAATTGAAGTCTTCCTGCATATGATAGAAATTTAGAGGACCAACATCTGACCCTTGCCACAATTTTTTCCACCAAAGGCATACATTGGTTGATAGTCAGTTTTGTAGCAGATAATAGTACTCCTAGGTATTTGAAAGGAAGGCTGCCAAGGGAGAAGTGAAGTTCAACTAAGAGTTTTTGTCTGAATTCAGTTGTGACTCCAGAAATGTACAAGGAGCTCACTACCATATTAGCTTTAAGTCCTGATACAGATGATAAGTGTTCAAAGTATTTCATCAGGAGTTGCATTGAAATTCTGTCTGCTCTACAACACAATAGCAGGTCATCAACAAAACAGATATGAGTGATGTGTTGCTTAGAGCATTTAGGATGATAGTTGAAATTTGGGACAATTTGTAACTTCTTTAATGCTCTATTTAGGTATTCCATCACAAGCACAAAGAGGTATGGTGACATAGGATCCCCTTGCCTTAGACCTTTCTTTGCTGGGAAGCTAGTTGTCATACCACCATTTATCAGCAGTGTATAGCTTACTGTGGTTACACACTCCATGATCAGACACACCATCTTATGTAGAATCCCAAACTCAATCAGTAGTTGCTTCAGGAAGCTCCATTCTACCGAGTCATAGGCTTTTCTAATGTCAACCTTTATGATGCATCTTGGGGATACTGATTTTCTTGTGTATCCTTTCACCAACTCATGTGCCAATATGACATTGTCTAAAATGTTCCTCCCCTATATGAAGGCAGATTGAGATGGTCCAACAAGGAAATCCATTGTTGCTTTTAACCTCTTAGTTAGGATCCTAGCAATAATCTTGTACAGAGCAGAGCAGCATGCAATTGGCGTGAATTCTTTCACATATGTTGGGTGATCCATCTTAGGGATCAGTGTGACAGTGGTGCAGTTTATTTCTTTGAGTATCTTGCCTGGTTCAAAGAATTGTTGGGTAGATTTTGTCACCTCCTCCCCTATAATCGACCAGAATGTCTTATAAAATTCAGGCGGATAACCATCTAATCCTGGTGCTTTATCATCTGGTAGCTCCATTACTGCTTGTGGGACTTCTTCTTTTGTCACAGGGTTCATCATTGATTGTTGTTGGGCTAGGGTCAAAGTAGGACCATCCCTAGCAATGTTGATATCCAAACCAGGCAATATAGGAGCTACTTCCCCCAGTAGATTCTTGAAAAAGCTGATGAACTCATTCTAGATCTGATCTGGCTCAGTTAGTCTAGCATTTTGCTCATTGTAGATGTAAGATACTCTGTTCCTTGCTTGTATAACTTTTAAATAGGCATGAAAGTACTTGGAGTTTGAATCCCCTTGTGCAATCCATATAGCTCTTGATTTTTGCCTAAGTACTCTTTCATATATTGCATCCTATTTTTCAATCAGTGTGAGTGTCAGTGTTTCCTCCTCTATGATTGCTGGGTTGAAGTGGTCATTATTTAAGGCCCCATGAACTGCCTCCAGCTTATTCCTTAGGTTTTCTAGCTTATTATCAATGGAAGAGAATTCCTTGTGAATGTTCCTAGTTTGGATTTCCAGCAGCTTCAGCTTCCTGCATATCTTGAACATAGTGTGGCCCTGACTTTGTTGTGTCCAAACTGTTCTGACTGTTTCTCTATAATTTTCCTGTTGCAGAAGCACTGTCATGAGTTTGAAGGGTCTCCTGAATTTATGTCTGTTAACTATTGTATTCAGCATAATTGGGGAGTGGTATGAGACTCCTGGAAGCAGGTGTACTGCTTCAATCCCTGCATATGTCTGGAACCAATTAGGGTTGCCAAAATCCCAGTCAATGTGGCTGTAAATCATTTTATCTGCATCTCTCTTATTGTTCCAGGAGAATTGACAACCTCGTTTGGTGATTTGCCCTACTCTAATGTCTTCAATACATTGTTGGAAGTCTATCAATTCTTGTTGGTGTACTGGATCTCTATTTATCATGTCCCTTACTGATAGTATACTGTTGAAGTCTCCAAGAATGATCCATGGGCCATTTGTCTTCGCATGAATGGCCTTAAGTTGATCCCACAGAGGCGTCCTGTGGCACCCCCATTTTCTCGCGAAAAGCGGGTTTCGGCGTATGATAACTCTTTTAAAGGAAGTATTAAAAGAGGAGAGTCACCACCTAATGATTTTTAAGGTGCGTTAAGGTACTTATTTGCAAATAAATCTGTTTGACTAATCTATGTCACCAAAGATCGGGTAAGGGCTCAAGTTACCTCAAAAAAAAGGTGTTAGACACTCCTTGTGGTCCACAATTGTGGGTCCCCGCTGAACTTAAGATTATGTGGATTATGATTAACCTAGGTGATCAAATAAACCAAGGAGTTCAGAAGTCACAGAACTTTATTACAACATGATTAATACAGATCC